CTCCTTCTCCTTCTCCTTCTCCTTCTCCTTCTCCTTCTCCTTCTCCTTCTCCTTCTTCTCCTCCTCCTCCTCCTCCTCCTCCTCCCATCTCTCCTTCTCCTCCTCCCCCATATCTCTCCTCCTCCTCCTCCTTCTCCTTCCCCACATCTCTCCTCCTCCTCCCCCTCCTCCTCCTTCTCCTCCTCCTTCTCCTTCTCCTTCTCCTCCAGCTTCTGTTCTAATTTGGTTTTATTGTTTGTAGCTTCTTCTTACATTCTTCTTATATTGTCTGGTGCATTGTTTGGAGTCAGGCGGCCTCAGATCCAGTCATAAATAAATAACGCGACAACGCAAAGTGCTTGAAAGTCATCAGCAACGCTTTTCCCATTGTTCCGTATCCCCCTCCCGTTTTTCCAGGACCGGGATGTCTACTGCATCGATGCTCGCTTCTACGGCAACGTCAGCCGCTTCATCAACCACTTTTGCGAACCTAATCTCATTGCCGTGCGAGTCTTCATGTCCCACCAGGATCTGCGCTTCCCCAGAATTGCCTTCTTCAGCAGCAGACACATACAGGCGGGAGAAGAAATCGGGTATGTCTTGCCCCGGCAGCGGAGGTGGAGACGGAGACCGAGGGGGCGGAAGGAGGAAAGGCCGGTGGGCGCAAAACCTCGTAGCCACCTTTCGGATTTCCCTCCTGAACGTGGTGCCTTAATTCGGGGAAGCTGGTTCAGAGGCGCCTGCTGTAGGAGCAGCCCATCCGTTGTTGGATCTCCCCCTTCTCCCATCGCTTCTCAGAAAGAAAAGCTTGCCCTGGTTTGGCTGGGCCTCATCTCACGTTTAATCACCAGCCCTCCCAAAAAAGTGGGGGCCAAAAATGGGGGAGGAAGGAAGCATGCCCCCAGTAGCCAAAACGTTGCTCCCACTTGCCTTTGCTTTCCTTTACCAGCCACAGGAGGCGAAGGAAAGGGAACGGGGCAGGTCAGCTTTGGAGCAGGCCGGCCTCGGTGGTCCCTTTCCGGTTGGGGTCGCCTTGCCTGCACGCGGCCAGGACAGGGCAGCCCAGCCCTAGGCCGGGCCCGCCGGTTGCTTTCCCAGGAAGGGACGCCCGACGCCAGCCGGAGGGAGCCCCCGAGTAAGCAGGCCTCTGTTTCCGCAGGTTCGACTACGGCGAGAGGTTCTGGAACATCAAGGCCAAGTATTTCAGCTGTCTCTGCAGCTCGCCGAAATGCAGGCACTCCAGTGCCGTCCTGGCTCAGCGGCAGGCCAGCGCTGCCTCCTTTCAGGAGGCCCCAGAGAACAGACTCCCCGACACCAGTTCGGCAGCCTTGGCGTCCCCCCCTGCCTTTGGAGGGCTTCCCTGAAGAGCCCGTCCCCACCCAAGCCAAGGCCAAGCCACCGGTGGCGTGACGGTGATGGTTTTCCTTTGTTTTGTTCTGCCCTCTCCCTTTCCAGCAAGGCCAAACCCTCCGGCGCGTCCGCCATAATGGTTCCCCGGGGCGTGGATGGCGGCGTCGCGCCCGGCCTCCCTCCGCCTCGCGGCGCGGGCGGAGGAGCGGGGGCCCGACCCCGCCGGGCGCCGGGGGGGGGGGGGGGGGGGGACGAAAGGAGCTTCTCCGCCCCCCCCCCCCAGCCTCTCTTAATGTGATAAGTGTTCTCCAAGCCCCATTCCCCCGTTGGAAAGATGAACGTTTAAATGGATGGCTCGCACCAAGTCTTTCCCGTCGAGTGATAATAAAACTCTGAATACTTGATGGCGGTGAGTCTGCCTCCAAGTCAACACGCCCACCTTGGCACACTTCAGGGGTAGGTTTTACTTGCAGCCGAATCTTCCCTCCCTCCCACTCATTTGCTGGCTGCCCGCGGATTGAAACGGCAGCACCTTTGGAACAGAGGCCCACCAGAGACCGAATCCAGTAAATTCTTTGTTTGTCGCTCACTCCCCACCCTCCACCCCGATTCACCCAGGCCTGGTGGGCGTTCTTCCGGGACTTCTCCGTTATACACCAGTTCTTGGGTAGGTCATTCTTACTTTCCCCCCAAGTTTTTTGTTTTTTTGGAAATTTTATTTTATTGTTCCTTCCCTGCCTCTTCCACTATGTGTATAGGAAACTTGTTTTAAATGACACTAACTCCAAAAGAGAAAAGGAAACTTGGGGGGTGGGAGGGTCGGGAGGGGGGCACGGCATTCTTAAGAAAATTGGTATTCATAGAAACCCTTTTTTGGGCATTTCTTAAGTCGATGCTCCAGCGGGACAGCTCAAGGATCGCAGCATTCCTGTTTCCTGGGCCAGTTCTGTTCCTTTCTCCTTAAAAGCTACCCGTTCTGAGGCCGAAGTTGGATTGAACCGAGTTTATTTTTTATCATCTGGGGAGGTGGGGGGGGGGACAGGGCTGGGGTGTTGAATGGATGAGTCCCCTCCGACCCACCTAGTCCTCCTCACCCGAGCAACTACACGGTGCTGATTCTATTGTGATTTTTACTCACTACGTGAATATAAATTTTCAGTTGTATAATAAAAGGATTAAAAAAAAACAGAAAAGAAAAAAAAAAACAGACAGACAGACAAGAAAAAAAAGAACAAAGTGATTTTAGTATGAAATGCAGGGACAAAACCCCCAAAATCCTTTTTTAAAAAAAAATGTTGTAGTGAGCATCAATCGGTCATCACCTTTTGTGTGGTGACTAAACAGGTCATTTAATTTTTTTTTTTCATATATCTTTCAATACTGTAATTAGTGCAGTATCAGATATCCTCTGGTGCATCTCTTCTAAACCGTTCATATTGCCGGGTGTTAATCCCCTCCCCTTTGTTTCGTTTTCTTTTCTGTTAAATGTTTGGACAGTTTTAAGGGGCACCATCTTTCGGCTCTGTCATTTCCTTGTTCTGTTTTCAATGAGATCAATAAAAAAAAAACAGTGCTTTAAAAAAAACTTGATTCATTGCTCGGCGTTGCCGGTCTTGAGTGGAATTCTTTGGAGCGGAAGTCCGAAGGGTCTGGGTGTGTGCAATGCCATTGTCGTAAATGATATTTAATATTCAAGTTTTCGGGTCAGGAAACCAGCGATTCGGGAACAAGAGGATCTGATTCGAAACAACTCAGCCTGTTTGACAGCAAAGCAATGAGCTGTGCTTTCAATAGTCTCTCTATTAGGGTTTGCCAATAATATGAAGGGGTGGACAATTCATAGACATAATCCAGGGTTTTATCATTTAAAATGATAAAATCCACACTGCACAAGGGTAAGTATTGGGCTGTTCTACTTCTCTATGAACAGATTCCAAAAAGTCAGGGTATGTTTTTCACTTGTCTTCCATGTCTGCTGATGGTGAAGGATTCAATTTGGCTGTGGAAGAATTGTTTTCTGGTTTTTAAGGTGATATTGGCCTAGTTTATACTGCTGGTAGAAAAGTTCATAAGAGAGGCTATAACTGATGACAAAAAGTAACCCACAACTCACCCCCTTTTGGGCTGTCAGTCAACTAGTCATTCCCACTGCCTCATTCCCCAGTTTGCGCATCTTCCCAGGAATGGCAGAGATTCCTCCTTTTGGCATAGCTGGTCCTGGTGAATAGCAGCTTCAGGCTGTTAACCAAGTTCACCCAGCTCCAATGGTTCATTGAGTTTTTAAACTACTTTTCTGACAACAGCTCTCCAAACACACACACAGCACGATGCATAAAATAGGTCCAACCGCAGCAGACTACAAAGCTGGCATGCAGGATCTCCTCTTCTGCCTTGAAAGAATAGCAACCAATGTGTTGGGGGCCATAACTTCAGAAGTCTTGACTGGCACTCATTTCTCCAGGCGCCTGAGCCTTTGAAATGGGGATGTCCAATTCCGAGTGCCACATTTTCAGGAAGACATGGCAAACCAGAATGCGTTTGGTGAAGAGTGGAACAGATGAGGCTTGAAGGAAGGTGCTGTGCAAGTGAATGAATTTTCAGCTTGGAGAAGAGAAAGTTTAAGGGGAAGCCTTGCAGTAGCTGTCAACTAACTAAAGGACTGTCGCGTAGGGAGTGACTCAAACTTCTTTGCCATCTCTAGAAAGCAGGAGAACCACCAGTGGATGGAAATAGAAGACAGATTTTGATTGAACATTGGGGAAGCAGTGAGAGCCTCAAGAAGTTCTAGAAGTATTGAAAAGAAGCTGAGGTGGCCATGTATCAGGGATTCTGCGTTTCCATTCTATGTAGAGTAGCAATTGTCTTTAAGGATACTTCCAGCTATTTAGAATTGTATGCATTTACTTAGAATGGTTTCTCCAAAAATCAATCCTTCCTTCCTTCCTTCCTTCCTTCCTTCCGCCTTGACAAGCTTGTGAACTATTTCACTTTATCTATTTTCAGCACAGCATGCTTAATCTCTCTCCGCCCCCACCCCCATCACCCTACTTCTCGCTAAGCTTCGAAAGTCCCACTTTTTGTCATCTTTTCTGTTTTGAGCAGGTACTTAAACCTGACAAAGGAAAAAGACTCGGTTTTCTCTGAGAGTATCAACATTCTTGCATTGGGGGACATCTTGGCTGTATCTGGCCAACTTTGGCTGGTTTCAAAACCCTAAGCAGGGTTGGGTTTGGTTAGGATTTGGAAGAGAGTCCACCCTCAAAAATGCCAGGACTAGGTTGAATGGAGAAGTTGAAATCACAGGCACAAGACAGTAGCAAACCACTAATGTATGTGGTCAAGAAAACTAGAGGTTCATGAAGTGACCAGGAGTTGAGCTCAGTTCAAAGTCCTAATGTACCCCTCTTTTCAATCCTAGGGCTGGGAAATTGCTTTTATTTACTTACTGGGGGTGCATTGTCTGCAAAAAAGGGGGGTCTCTGAGCTGCTGAAAGATGTCTATCTCCAAGAGATCTGGACAGATGTGCACTGCTGGATTCTCATTTTGCTGAGGCTGGTATGTTATGAGAAATTTGGCAGGTTAGAATGGTTCAATCTGCCTATATAGAGGCAAGCCATTTCCTCACTCGCAAGACTTTGCCTTGCAAGAAATAGCTCGTCTCTCCGATAACTGCTCGTGTTCCATCTTCGCAGCCCCAGGAGAGAAAAGCGTCTCTCATCTTTTTAATTTCCTTTTGGTGGCACTGCTTGTGCGTTGTCTGGGGTGGGGGAGTCAAAATCCGAAGATGGTTATCTGGGCAACTTGAAAGGCCTGCAAGGGAAGCCTTGACAACCTGGATGGCCTGCAACCAATGGGAGAGTAACATGCTTTGCATCCCCAAGTCTCCGGGTGTGACCCCTAGTTTAAGTCTGATCCAAATTCAGCTGCAAGGGAGGTCAGTCTGAAGCTCTGAACAGACTCTGCTCTTTGCAAAACCAGGGTTAGATGGACTGAACCAGGGTTCATATATTTTAAATCATGGCTTGCTTTAGTTATGATTTGTAGAGCAAGCCGTAGAATGGGTTCTGATATTACACAAAGCTGTAATGTGGGTTGTTTGCTGTTGGCTTAGGGTATTATTAACCTGCCTTTTTAATTTATATGTAACTTTATATTAAATTGATAATATCTATAAATTATGAACTGAAGTCATTTGTTAAGCCCAGGTTTGGTGCTTTTGCAAACCCATCCAGTTGTTTATTCAATAAACCCTGATGAAGCAAGTCATAGTTTGGTGTGGTGTGTGCATGCAGTCATTGCAGCTCGATATACCCATAAACCTAGATTATGGTTTACAAGTCACATTTGGTTTCACATGGCATGCTAAGCCCAAACCAAATAATACACATTACAGTTCATGTTATATGTAGGACTATTTTTAAGTTCCTAATGTGAATACTGAATGCTCAGATTCTGCAGCTAAAGAAAGTCTGGCGTTTGACATTGTAGAGCTCTTACACTCTTGCAGAGCTGTTGATCGTTGGTAGTTGCATATTTCAGTAGCAACGTTGGGCAAGATACAGTATGCAATTTCTACTTCAGCGAATGATGCTCAAACACATGCACGCGCACACACATGCTCTTAGATGCTTCAACTCCATTTTGTGTTTGCTTTGTTAAATGCGGGAGGTCAACTGCGGACTCAGTAGTTGAAAGAAAACAGAAGTCATGATATTCGGGAATCATCAGTCAACAAGCCCAGGATATAAGTGAAGCCAGCAAGGCCAGATGCTAAGAGCGTGAGGCCAGTCAAAACTTTGTGAAGGTGCACTCAACTTCCAAGGTTGAGAAAGGAGCAGCCAAACACCCATTGCCCCATAAAGGGGGGAAAGATATGGAAGGAGCTGATGTACAACTATGTCTGGACATCTAGATTTTGCATTAGTGGGTCATGGTTAGTGGAGTTCTTTTCTTCTCATCCTTGTCCTTGAACCTTCCAAGGTTAAGCTCATGAAGGCATGTTTGGATTCCTAGAGAACAAGGTATTTCACTGCTCAGGTGAAGCCCTGGCAGTTAGATCCGGCTGATGCCCAGGCAGTTTAGATAAATGTCCCAGCTGGTCCTGGGAGATTTTATTATTTGGGCATTTTAGAACCTTGGAACCATTTCACCACTCTCACTTTCCTCTGCCCTATTTGAACCCAAAGTCACCTGAAGG